GCACCCCCCCTTCCCCCCCCCCCCACACACACACTGCCCTCTGGTGCGGTTGACGACTCTGTAATGTCGGCATGGATTCCGAGCCACCGCTTGGTCCTGAGCAGACAAACCTCGAGACACCACCGAGGCACCCCCCCCCCCGCCCCTCCTCCCCCCGGGGTGGCCAAGCACCCCCCCTCAACACCGCCCCACCTGCTGCACCCCGCACGCCCGCACGCCCGCGCTACGACGCTCCTCACACCGCCCGGAGTGGTCGTCTTTTCACACTCGTGCGGCGGCGGCACAGGCGCTGCCCCTCGACGCCGCTACCGACGCCCCGCCCTGCATCCACACCTTGCGCCCTCCGCTCGACGAGTTCGCCGGCGCCGGTGTAGTAGCACAGCATAGCAGAGGTGCTGGCAGTGCATCGACCGCACCCCTCGCCGCATACCTCGCCCAACGGCCTCTTCTCTCGCTGCACTCGGACCTCCCCCTCTGCCGTTCCCTCTGCCGTGCGCCCCTCTCGTCGCACCTTTCCCCTCGCGGCGCGCCCTTGCCGCCCTCCTCACCCCATCTCCCCCCGCCCCTCTAGGCGCGGACACCGGCGACGCGGTTGCCGACGGCACCCTGGCGGCGGTTCTGCGGCTAAGCCTCTCCTCCGACCTGCAGTGGGCCGCGGCGGCGGACGCGCGCCGCCGCGTGAGCATCTACTCGCTCGACGCCCTCGCCTTCCACGGCGCGATGCCGCGCCTCTCGTCGCCGCCTGCGGCGCTCGCCTTTGTCCCGGGTGTGTGCCCTCCCCCCCCCCCCCCCCCCCCCCACCCCCCATCCCCCCCCCCCCCCCCCCGCCCCCACTCCCCCCCTCCCTCCCCCCCCCCCCCCCCCCCCCCCCCCGACCCCCCCCCCCCCCCGGCGCCGCCGCCGTCACCCACCTCGCCCCCTGTCTTCTCCCCCCGCAGGCGGTCCTCCGTAAGTCCCCCTATCTCCCCCTATCTCCCTATCTCCCCCTATCGCCCCCCGCAGGCGGTCCTCCGTATCGTCTTTAACCAAGCGGCTCCCCTCTCGCTGCTGCTCTGCGCGCAGACGTGGTCGCTGCGCGTCGACCTCAACGCCGACGCCCACCCAAGTCTTCGCCGGTTGGGCGCGGCGGCGGCAGTCGCCGCGGCCGCGGCCGCCGCTGCCGCCGCCGCCGCCGCGGTGCCGCCGCCAGTTTCGGAGGCGGCAGAGCCCTCCGCTGAGGGGGTGGTGTCCGCAGAGGCAACAAGCACGCCGAAGCGCAAGCGCAAGCGCAAGCGCAGCGGCGGCGGCGGCGTTGGCGGCGGCGTTGGCGGCGGCAAGGCGGCGGCGGCGGCGGCAGAGCCCAGGGCCACCGACGGTGGCAGCGCTGATGGGACGAGGCTGCTCACAAAGTACGGCCCGATGCGCCTCTTTGACTTTGTGGCGCCGGGCTGCGCCGTCGTCGTCGAGCAGCCGTGGCTGCGCGTGATGGAGCGCTTCCCGAATGCGATGGTCCGCCACCAGTTTGGGACGTGAATGCAACGGCGTACTCTCGCTGCTCGCCGTCGGCGACCGTTGGCGCGTGCGTGCCTTCTTGTGACCCCACGTGCGTGCGAGCTCGGGGTGTGCGCGCACCCCGGGCGCCGCGGACAGTGCGGGTGCGGGCACGGGAATACACAGAGAGAGAGAGAGAGAGAGAGAGAGAGAGAGAGAGAGAGAGATTTTTAGAAGCCTACAAGAAATGTGACACACACAGTGATTTGGGCTCGGCAGCTTGTCGACTACCAGCCGGAGAATACAGCGCCGAGGAACCACGTCTTGCTTGAGTACCGGGATGTGGAGGGTCGCGCGTCACACCATGTACAGTTGTACACATCTGCTGATGTCTCGGTTGGAATTCTATTACAATCGTGCGTGGACGGTGTGGCCCGCACACGCACCTTGACGGTTGACGCCTTGCACGGGGTCGGACTGTGGCTGTCGATCTTACGGCACGGCGACGGAGGCGGCGCCGCGGCCCGCCTTTGACCACACGTTGACTTCAGCCGCCAGTGCTGCGACGGTCCGCTTGCCCTTGATCGTCGTCCCCTTGGCCGAGGCGACAGGGCAGGCCTTGCTTGCCGCCTCTTGCGAGCGAAATCCTCTTCAACGTTCCGATGGCCTCCCACCGCATTGGCGCCCGCGTCGCGAGCCTCTCGCCAGAGCAGCTGTGCGCCATCATCGAGGCGCAGGCGGGCGCGAGCGACGCCGCGCTGCGCGTGGCGGAGGAGCACGCCACACGGCTCGTGGAGCAGCCCGAGTGGGTGCTCTCCGAGGTCCTCCTCTCGCCGGACCTCGCCCCGCACATCCTCGCCCAGCTGCCGACCAAGGAGCACGCTCTCAAGGGGACGTGCCGCGCGTGGCGCCGCGGCTGGAAGGAGACGCTGAAGAAGCGCGAGAGGCCGCGCCTGCTTGTGGTCGGCGGCCACGACAGCGAGGGCGAGCGCTTCAACTCGCTGGAGCGGTACGACCCGTCCACGAATGAGTGGGAGGAGGAGGAGGCTGTGGCGCCGATGCCGACGGCGCGAGAGTCTTACGCTACGGCGGTGCTGGATGGCAAGCTGTACGCGGCTGGCGGCCTGGACATGGAGGCCACAGCGGAGGCAGCGGCGATGGGCTCAGAGGTCTCCTCCAACCTGGTGGAGCGGTACGACTTGGCTGCGAACGCGTGGGAGGCGGTGACGCCGATGGGGGGGGCGCGGTGCGTTGTCGCCGTGGCGGCGCTCGACGGCAAGCTGTACGCCGTGGGAGGCTACAACGAGTCGTACAACGGTGGCCGCCTCAGCTCAGTCGAGCGGTACGACCCGGCGACGAACGCGTGGGAGGCGGTGGCGCCGATGGCGACCGCACGGGGTTCTCACGCCATGGCGGTTCTCGACGGCAGGCTGTACGCTGCGGGAGGCCACAACGACAACGAGGATGGCCACACCAGCTACCTCAGCTCGGTGGAGCGGTACGACCCGGCTGCGAACGCGTGGGAGACGGTGGCGCAGATGGTGACGGCTCGGTGTAATTTTGCCGTCGCGGTGCTCGATGGCAAGCTGTACGCTGTGGGCGGCTTCAACCGCAACGGCTACCTCAACAACTACCTCAGCTCGGTGGAGCGGTACGATCCGGCGACGAATGCGTGGGAGACGGTGGCGCCGATGGCGGTGCGGCGGGTAGCTTTCGGCGTGGCGGTGCTCGACGGCAAGCTGTATGCGGTGGGCGGAGAGGATGACGGCTACAACACACTTAGCTCGGTCGAGCGGTACGATCCCGCCACGAATGCGTGGGATGCAGTGGTGCCGATGGGGACGGCGCGACGTGCTTCTATCGCAGTCTTGATGCAGTGGGCTTAGGTTTGGGTGCGACGGCGGGCGGGTATCGCCTCTCCCAGCGTGAGGACGCAGGACGGAGGTCTATCAGATCTTTTTTTTACACTGGGGGGGGGGGGCGAGGCCCACCGCTGGGAGTAGAAAATACGCCCCCAAGCGCCAAGCCAAGGGCGGCCCCTACGGCTTTATATAATGATCCGAAGGCGAAGCCTTCAACGTTCAAGGGGGCCCCCAGAGGGGGCCAAGGAGGCGGCGCGGGGAAGGAGAATCAGGTGAGAGCAGGAAGGATGTGAGTCACCAGGATGGGGCAGAGCTCGGCGAGGAGGAGGGTGCTGACGAGGGCGCGGAGCTCGGCGAGGAGGATGGGGCAGAGCTCGGCGAGGAGGATGGCAGGCTGGTGGGTGCAGTAGACGGCGCCGAGGAGGGGGCGGAGGATGGCGCCGAGGACGGGGACGAGGATGGGGCGGTGCTCGGCGAGGAGGATGGGGCAGAGCTCGGCGAGGAGGAGGGTGCTGACGAGGGCGCGGTGCTCGGCGAGGAGGAGGGTGCTGAAGAGGGCGCAGAGCTCGGCGAGGAGGAGGGGGCGGAGCTCGGCGAGGAGGAGGGTGCTGACGAGGGTGCGGAGCTCGGCGAGGAGGAGGGGGCGGAGCTGGGAGCCGATGACGGGGACGAGGATGGGGCAGAGCTCGGCGAGGAGGAGGGTGCTGACGAGGGCGCGGTGCTCGGCGAGGAGGAGGGGGCGGAGCTTGGAGCCGATGACGGGGACGAGGATGGGGCAGAGCTCGGCGAGGAGGAGGGTGCTGACGAGGGCGCGGTGCTCGGCGAGGAGGAGGGGGCGGAGCTGGGAGCTGATGACGGGGACGAGGATGGGGCAGAGCTCGGCGAGGAGGAGGGGGCAGAGCTCGGCGAGGAGGAGGGTGCTGACGAGGGTGCGGAGCTCGGCGAGGAGGAGGGTGCTGACGAGGGTGCGGAGCTCGGCGAGGAGGAGGGTGCTGACGAGGGCGCGGAGCTCGGCGAGGAGGAGGGGGCGGAGCTGGGAGCCGATGACGGGGACGAGGATGGGGCGGAGCTCGGCGAGGAGGAGGGTGCTGACGAGGGTGCGGAGCTCGGCGAGGAGGAGGGGGCGGAGCTCGGCGAGGAGGAGGGGGCGGAGCTCGGCGAGGAGGAAGGGGCGGAGCTAGGAGCTTCGGTTGGCGGTGGCGCATCCGGCGGTGGCGCATCCGGCGGAGCAGCAGGAGGAGTCGCCACCGCTCCCTGCAAGGCAGAGTGCTGCTACGGTGAGGCCCATCGCACGTGTGGAGTGAAGAGAGAGAAGGAGCGGGCAGGGGCGGAGGAGGTGGCGTGGAGGGTAGCGTAGTGCTCGCCTGCGCAAGCAGCAGGGCGACGACCGCCACCACCCTCTTGCCAACGAGCATGGCCTCCAGGGGTCGCAGACTGAGTCAAGCACAAGTGCGTTGCCGCCGTCGCGAGCACAAGTCTCAAATCGTCATACAACTTCAATACAGCTTTTACCGAATGAAAGGGGTCGCCGCTGTTCTGGCCTGCGTGTACTGGCGAAAATGTAGTTGCGAACCGCCGTTTTGAAACTACGTTGGTTGGGGGGCGTTCTGGCGGCAGCGCTTTTTCGGCCTGCGTGTAGTTAAGGTGCATGCATGCATGCATGCATGAAAGACCCGCGCCTTTCTTTGATGCCATATGCCGATCGATCGATCTTTTGATGGCCGGACGGGGGAGTTGCCACCCCTGGCCACGAGTGCTGCAGATAGCGAGCGTGCGGGATGGCGGCTCTGGCCCCTCGCAGCTAACACACGAACCCCGCGTCTACGCGCAGGTATGTGCTCTGTCTATGGTCTAGAGTATGGGAGCAGGGAGACGATCCCATCGCGCGGTTGAAAGTACAGCTGGAGCTCTTCCACGATGTGGCCCGCCCCTGTGGGCACTGGGGGAAGGATACCCCTGGGTCGCTGGGTGCCACGCGACGGGCGGCGCGGGAACCCGCACAACGGCGGAAGCCCGAGGTCCGACGCGCGATAGTTAGAGCGAGAGTCAGTATCGCGGGTTACCTCACTACACACTAGCAGATAGGAGATAAAGGGTGTGGATGCTGGGTTGACGGAAATCGGGGGACGCGACCCACCTCGCCACAGACGGTCCCGCGCCTCGCCACTATGACGGGCACACGCCCCGCACCGTCCGCTGTGTGCCCGTCTTTGTCGCTCCGGAGTGTAAAGTCCAACGCGCTCGTCGCACGTCGGTGACGGTGTCCCCCGATTTCGCCGCGCTTGGCGAACCTCGACAGCGCTTTCGGTGGCATGCAGCTCTTTGCGACAGAAGCCTGGAGAGCAGCTCCTCTGCTGCTCACACTCTGCACAGTTGACACAGCCTACTGTGCGGCTGCCACAGCTGTCACAGCGATGGGCTCGCGCCCTCCACTGGCCCTCAGTCGCTTGTGCTGCGGCTTGTGTGAGCGACACTGCTCGGCGACTGCCGGCACGCTACCAGCGCTACGCCGGTCAAACGAGAACTGGTTGCCCCCCCCCCCCCCCGGCCATATCGAGCCGCCGCGCCCCACCCCCTCGCGGCGCCAGAACGCATACCCCTGACGGGAACGCCCCTCGCCCAGTCACAGCTCACAGCTCACACAACACACTGTCACACTGTAACTGTACACGAATCAATGCCTCTCCACGTCCTCCTCCCACCCGCGCCCTCACAGCGTGTAGTCGCTCGCGCAGCCCTCGAGCGGCTGCACGTCCTCGCCCACAACCTGTGCGCCGCCAATCTCGCGGGTCACTCGCACGACGGTCGGGATGTCGCGTACGAGCTCATAGTACAAGCCCTTTGCGTCGGTGACGGTCACGCCCGCGTCGCGCAGCCGCACGATGCCGGCGGCGTGGTGGGGCGGCGGCGTGCCGACGGCGTCCTCGACGACGACGACACGAAAGCCGCCAGCCTTGAGGCCCAGAGCCGACTGCGCAACGCACACGTCCGTCTCCAAGCCGACCAAGATGAACGTATTGATGCCGTGCGCCTTGGCGACCTCGTCGACTGCAGCGCGGATGTCTGGCTGCCCGTAGAGATTCCAAACCAACTTGTTCCAGACGTGCGTGCCCTCGGGCAGCAGTGCGGACAGCGTCGGGTGCATCGGCGGGTTGCTTCCTCCCTGCCCGGCAGCGGCGTAGTCCTCGGCCGTCGCAAGGATGGGCAGTTTCATCGCTTTCGCAACCTTCATAATGAAGGCGATGCGCTCCACGAGGCTCGCCCGCTGGTCGAGCGGCAGCTTGTCGAGGAAGTTCTGCTGCACGTCAATGACGGCCAACGCCGTGCGATTTGAGTCGAGGAGCTCCCAGCCGGCATCCGTCCTGCACGAGTCGGTTGATTTGATTGCGGTTTCGCCGACGGCGCAGAGGATCAGCGTCGCGAGGGTGCAAGAGCGTCGGATAGCCATGTCAGAGGGCGTGGTTGATTTTTTTGAGCTTAGCCTTCGATGTTAGGAAACAACGCAAGGCGGACATGGCATATCGCTCTTGGGCCCACAGACATCCCGCACACTCGCCGCACACCCGCCGCCCCCCCCGCGCGCCCCGCCCCGGCCGGGAGAGAGGGGAGTGACAGTTTGGGACGGCAACAGAACGAACGAGTATTACGAGTATATGTATGTTGAGTCCTGGCTCAACAACGCAGAGTAAAGGACTTTTTCTTTCTGGGGCAATAGTTGGAGCTGCCCCGCGCGCCGCCGCGAGCACCACGACGTGAGCGCGCCTTTTGGAAGGCGCAGGCACCACCCCTCGTGCCGGCCCGAGCCGATTCAGCAGCTCCGGCCCAACCTGCAACCAATCCGGCCGCCGACGGGAGGGCGAGCAAAAGGGTAAAGGGAGAGCACGCGCATGGGCCAAAATGTCCGTTACGGTCCCAGCTGCGCGCGCTTTTTTTCTTGCTGGGGCAGCGCGGAAAAAATCGTTTCCGGAAATTCGTTCGTTTGACAACACAAACAACGCTCTCTTTTATGTCCCACCATGCAGAGCGCATCTCTCTCTCTGTTGTGCGAGGCGTGAACCGCGCCATTCGCTCTCACCTGGCAACCCTGTCTGCACGTCTCGCGCGCGCGTGAACAGGGCTCCAGGCCCCAAATGACGTGTGAGTGTTAGATTTGTTTGGTATTGCTAAAAATCTCTCTCTCTCTCTTCGTTTGCCCGCCGACTTTCGTTCCGTCCAGTTGAGCGTGAACACACAACACGGCCGACAGGTCCGGTCCACCTCTCCAGCCTACCCCATACGCCGGGACACGAGTGAGCACGCTGCCCCACCCCCAAAGAAATCTGTTTCCCTGGCGAAACTGTAGGCGCGCAAAAGAAAGAAAACAGACAGCCCAAGGGAGGAATGGGAGGACGGCACGCACGCCGCCACCACACTGGGATTTTAAGGAGAGGTGTGTGATGCGCTAGCCGTCGCCCACCCTAGGGAGTCTGCCTCTTCCTATCTCTCTTCGCAGTCTCTCGCCGATTCTCGCTGCGACCTTCATGCCACCTCGCGGTCGTCCCACTCTCGTCGTTCTCTCCCTTGTCACTTCCTCCTCTGTCGCGTCGTTCTCTTCTGCCTCGTCCTGCGACGCCGCCGCCTGCCGGTCCCTTGTTCTCGCGGCTTCTTTCGCCTTTCGGCGCAACTCCGTCCTCCTCGCGGCGTATCCTGGCCCCTCGAGTCTATCGAGCTCCCCTCGCGCAAGGACCACATTTCTGACTCCCACTCCGATCATTTGCCTCCAAGTCATATCGTTGCTCAGGTCCACTCTCTCTTCGAACACTCGTGCCTCTACGGATGATGCCGGCTCAGGCGATACGTTTTTTCACAATTCACGCGGGGCGGCGTGTGGGGCGCGAACCAGAAATTGCTCATTGACATGCCTCGGTGTCCTCGGGTGCTCCAGAATCGCGCTTGGTCCTCCCGCCCCTCACCGGCCGCGACGTCGCCGCGTAGGCGCACACACCGGGTCGGCGGCCCAGCCCAGCGGCAGGGCAGCGTCGCTCAGCAGCCGGCGGCGGGCCGTGCGGACGGCGCACCTCCCGCGCGAAAGCCGCACCGCTTCAGGCGTGCACACGCGGGGATGGTAGCGCGCCGCGTTGGGAGCGGTTATTCGCGATGGGACATGTCCCGTTGCCCTCCCTCCCCCTCCCCCTTTTTTCCCTCCTCGCGCCTCTCACCCGCGCCGCGCGCTCGCCGCAGGCCTGGCACGGTCGCCTTGAGAGAGATCCGGAAATACCAGCGCTCGACGGAGCTGCTGATCCGCAAGCTGCCCTTTGCCCGCCTCGTGCGCGAAATCACCCAGACGTGCGCCTCTCATCCCCTCGCTCGCACCCTCCCGCGGCGCCGCCCCGACCCCTCTGCCGGGTGGTGCCCTAACGCCTGACCGGGGGCGCGCTTGCCCGCCGTGCGGTCTCCTGGCTGCGGGGCGAGGGGGGGGGGGGTATTTGGGGCAGTACAGTCACAACGGGCCCCCCCATCTGCTGGACAGCAGCTTATACTAAGAATTCGCCCCCCGTGGTTGGATGTTGCACCCAACT